TGCAATCAGCTGTTCTTTTTCGTTCTTTCATGTCAGTTTTACGCCCTTCTTTGGATGTGATTAAATGTTCATAAGATTGTTCTTTACGCCATAGTGAAACATTATGAGCAGATTTCCCTTTTGTCTTCTTTTTGCTGTCTTCTCCGGGTGTATCTAAAGATGGCGAAGCATGTTCAAACAGACTTTCTGATTCAGTTTCTTCACTTGCAGCTGCTGGAGTTTCTTGGATATTTTTTTCCCTCTTCTTTTTTAACACCACAGCCTCATCAGAGCATCTTGTATCAGCATTTTCTGATCCTTTCACAGGGGTCGCTGACTTGGTTTCGTTCCTCTTACGTTTCTTCTTCTTCTTCTTCAGCCCTGTGTCAGACAGGGCCTCCTCAAGTTCCTCAAAATCTGGTTCCAGATCTTTTTCCACACTCTCTTCTTCATTTAACATTTTCCTCTTCTTCTTTTTCCTGACTCTGTCATTAGATTCGTCCAAACTTACAGTGATTTCTGCTGATTCAGCAGGACTGCCGGTGCTGACGCCTGGCATTTCAGCAGCCACAGATCGCAAAGGACAATGTTTTTCTTCCTCTGAATGCGCAGCTTTTCCCTCGACATCAGCACCGAGGAAGAAAGATTTCCTCTTCTTTTTTTTCCGCTGCACAGACAACAGATCAGAGCTTTTTGCGACAGTGTCATTGGAGCCCTCCATGCCTGACATTTCTTTCATTTTCTTCTTCTTCTTCTTGGTCATCAGTAAACCAGCATCATGGTCTTCAATCTCATCTGTTTTCTGTGGATTTTCTTCATCTTCGGGAGTGTTAGATTCATCTCTTTGAGATGACTTTTTGTGCTTTTTTCTTTTCGCACAACTGGATTCCAAAGTTTTCTCAAGGTTTTCCTGAAAAGCTTCAGTATTTCTGAAACCTTCACCTTCATCTTTAAACTCTTCCTTTTTCTCTGTTCTTTTTTTCTTTTTCTTCTTCTTTGTTGGTATCTCCACATCATCGTGAAGAGATTCAGCAGCGGTGTTGCACTTTGACTGCTTGACATCTTCCTCCTCACCATCATTGCTTTCTGACGTTTTCTTTTTCATCTTCTCCTTTTCGTGTTCTTCAGGTGACTTTTTTCTTTTCTTCTTTTTCTTCTTCTGTTGTGAATGAGGAATGTCACTCTCCTCCTCCTCAATGATTTCCTCATTCGCAGATGCTGCAGCATCCTGAACCTCCAGCTCATCCTGACTCAGACTCTGTTCTTCTTCTGCATTTTTGTTTTCGTTGTTGTCCTCTTTCACCTTCTTCTTTTTCTTCTTCTTCTGTTGTGTATCAGTCATGTCACTGTCCTCCATCACAGTTTTTCCGGTAACATCAAGCACGCTGGTGACCTGTGACAAACAGGGAGTCTCCTCCTCCACCTCAGTGATTTTGTCATTCTCAGATGCGGCATCGTGCTGATCCTCCAGCTCGTCCCGACTCTGGCTCTTTTCCTCTTCTGCATTTTTCATTTCTTTGTTGTCCTCTTTCACCTTCTTCTGTTGTGAATCAGGAACGTCACTGTCCTCCAAACCGATTTTTGCATTAAGATCCAGCTCATTAACAGTCTGTGACAGATGTTGAGTCTCTTCCACTTCAGTGATTTCCTCATTCAAAGATGATGCAGTGTGCTGATCCTCCAGCTCGTCCTGGCTCTTTTCTTCTTCTGTATTTTCGTTTTCTTGGTTGTTCTTTTTCTTCTTCCTCTGTTCTGAATCAGAGATGTCACTCTCCTCCATCCTATTTTTTTCATTAAGCTCCAGCTCGCTGATGGTCTGTGACAGATGAGGACTTTCCTCCACCTCAGTGATTTCCTCATTCACAGACAGTGCAGCATACTGAACCTTCACCTCCTGCTGACTTTCATTATCAGCTTCTTCTGCACTTTCATTATGTTCTCTGTGATTTTGCTTCTTCTTCACTTTGGTTTCACTGCATGTAGCAACATTATTGGTGTCACTCTGGAAGAAACTTTGGTCTGCAGGCTCACTGTCTCCCCGCCCTTCCTGGGATAACTCCTCTTTGTTAGATACTTTGCACTTTTGCATGCATTCCTTTGGACTTTGTGGAGGACTGCTGTCACTCAGCTCATCCTCCATTTCTTTTCCCTCAGAGCTGTCTCTCTTTTTACTGTTTGTCTTTAGAGTTACGGTTTGAGCGCGGACGCTTTGGCGTGTGAGCTGTTTATTACTCGTCCTCTTCTCTCTCAGAATGCTACAAGAAGGATCTTCATCATCAGAGCTCTCCAAATCTGAAGACTGTGCAGCTCTCAATGAGGGTTTCTTAGCTGGTATTTTATGTAACACAACCCCCCATCCTCCTGGTGGCATTTTATCACCAGTAAGTCCTTCCCTCCACTGTTTTCCTTTACTATTTCTCTTCTTCTCGCTGTACCAGGACTGTGAGTGTCTCCTTTTTGATGGTATCACAAAATGCTTCTTTGCCTGTCAAATGACACACAACTTAGGGCCTGTACA